GGGTTCAGTCCCCCCCGCCTATGTCCTGGGGTGCCCCCGGGCAGGTGTTGGGGTGCATGGCCCCCCAGCAGTGCCGTGGGGTGTTGGGTTGTCAGAGGTCCCCGTGGCAGTGCTGTGGGTTTTTGGGGTGCCCCAGGTGGGTCCCGGGGTGCCCCCCGGGGGGGGAGAAGTCTCACGGGGTGTTGGGGTGCAGTCCCCCCACAGGCAGCCAACAGGTTGTGGATGGGACCCTGAAGCTGATCCTGGCGGGGGGGGGGGTCAGGGCTGTCGGGGTGCAGGGATCCCCCCGGGGGGTCCCGCAGGATGGTGGCGTGTCCCGAGGGGTGCTGTGGGGTGTCGGGGTGCCCTGGGGGGACTCCCGCAGGACCTCGGGTACAGCCCCCCCTGTTTCCCCCTCGCAGACAGCAAAGCGATTGTGGACGGGAACCTGAAACTGATCCTGGGGCTGATCTGGACCCTCATCCTGCACTATTCCATCTCCATGCCGATGTGGGAGGAGGAGGAGGAGGGGGATGAAGGGCGCCGCCAGACCCCCAAGCAGCGGCTGCTGGGCTGGATCCAGAACAAGGTGCCGCAGCTGCCCATCACCAACTTCAATCGCGACTGGCGCGACGGGAAAGCTCTGGGAGCGCTGGTGGACAACTGTGCCCCTGGTGAGGAGGCGGGGCTGGGGGAAGCTGGGGCCGTGGTGGGAGTATGGGGGGGACAACTGTGGGGGGTAGGGGGGGCAGGGCGTGGGACAGGGGGCAACTTCCCCCTCCTGCAGCTGATGTGGGGTACAGGGGGCATGGGGGGGTAAGAGCCCCCCAGTCCACACTGGATCAGGGGGCACTGGTGGAGTCACTGGATGCAACAAGAAAGAGATGTGGGATGGGGGGAGCAGGACAGGGTTGCCTTGCTGACCCTCCTTCCCCTCAGGCCTGTGCCCAGACTGGGAGAAGTGGGATCCCAACGAGCCGGTGCAGAACGCCCGGGAGGCCATGCAGCAGGCGGACGACTGGCTGGGGGTCCCCCAGGTACGGGACACGGGGGGTCACCGGGTGTTCCCCAAGTGTGGGGCTCGGGAGGAGGGCACAAGGGGCACTGGGGGGTGCAGGGGTGTTTCAGGGGGGATCCACGGGGTTCCTCGGCATATGGGGTACCCCTGGGCAGCTGTGGGGGTGGGAGGCGTGTGTGTGTGGGGGGCGGGGGGGTTCCCAGCAGGGCTGGGAGGGTATGGTTGGTGTCAGGGGTCCCAGGAGGGTCTGACAGGTGTCAGGGTGCCTCCTGGCAGTGGGGTGCACGGTGGGAGGGCTCCCCCAGCAGGGTCCCCCTGGATGGGGGGTGCTGGCAGGGTCTGACAGGTGTTGGGGTCCCACCCTGCAGGTGATCGCCCCCGAGGAGATCGTGGACCCTGACGTGGACGAGCACTCGGTGATGACGTACCTGTCCCAGTTCCCCAAGGCCAAGCTCAAACCGGGGGCCCCCCTGCGCCCGCGGCCCCCCCAGCCCGGCCGTGCCCGCGCCTACGGGCCTGGTATGGGGGGCTGCGGGCTCAGGGAGGGGCTGGGGGGGCTGTAGTACCAGGATGGAGGGGGTAAAGGGGGTTGGGAGTCACCAGGAGGCTGCAGACCTGGCACGGGTGGGCCGTGGGGCACGTGGGGGGCACGGGGGCTCAAGGACTCCATACGGGGGGACACGGGGGAGTGCAGGGACACACAGGGGACCTGGCATGGGAGGGACATGGAGGATGGGGACATGGGGGATGTGGAGGGGCTCAGGAACCCAGCACTAGAGGGGTCTTCAGGGGCTATGGGCTGTCAGCACATGAGGGGGACCCATGTCCCCTCCACCGAAGCCCAGGGACCTCTCTCCAACCCTGGGGTGTCACCTGTGCCCAGAGACACCCTGGGAACACCCCAGGGCCTCCACCACTGACCCAGGAAGATCCCAGGGTTCCCCAAGGATCCCCCCAATGACCAGAGACCCCCCCAAAATCCCCCCCAGGCTCCCCCTCATACCCAAGAGACCCCTATTGATCCCCAGGTTCCCCCTGCCACCACCAAAGACCACCTGAGGGTCCCGAGTCCTGTGGGCTTTGGGGTGCTGGGGGTTGGGGGCATGCCAGGAGGTTCTGGGGTGCTGGGGGTACCTGGGGGGGTTCTGGGATCCTGGAAACCCCTTGACCCCCTCCCCCTGCAGGCATCGAGCCACAGGGGAACGTGGTGCTGCGCCCAGCCCAGTTCACGGTGGAGACCCTCGATGCAGGGGTGGGCGAGGTCCTGGTCTATGTTGAGGACCCCGAGGGACACACTGAGGAGGTACAGGGGGCCCCAGCACTCCCTCTGGGGGGATCCCCCCAGCAGCCCTCTCTGGGGGGCTCCTCCAGTGCCCTAGCTCTATGTCACCCCCTTTTCCTGCTTTTGGGGTCTCTCCCCCCCCCCGCCCCCACAGGCCAAGGTGGTCCCCAACAACGACAAGAAGCGAACGTACAGCGTCACCTACGTCCCCAAGGTCGCGGGGCTGCACAAGGTGAGCCCTGTGGTGACCCCCTCTGGGACAGCCCCCTCGCCACCCGCCCTGCAACGCCCCCCTGTTTGCCCCCCAGCATCCCCTGTGACACCCCCCGACCCTCTGTGCCCCCCCAGGTGACGGTGCTGTTCGCGGGGCAGAACATCGACGGCAGCCCCTTCGGGGTGGGCGTGGCCATGGCCCTGGGTGACGCCAGCAAGGTGACAGCGCGTGGCCCCGGCCTGGAGCCCGTGGGCAACGTGGCCAACAAGGCCACCTACTTTGACATCTACACTGCAGGTGGGGGAATGGGGGGGCTGGGGGGGGACTCTGGGGACACGTCCTCACGGTGGCCTGACCGTGGCACGACTTGGTGACCCTGAGGCCACGTTCTCATGGTGACAATGGCCACGGGGTGTCTCGTGGCTCTGGGGATGTGTCCTCATGGTGACAGGGTCACGGCATGGCTGGATGACTGGGCATGTGTCCTGATGGCCTGGTGGCTCCCCGTGGTGGCCATGGCACTGAGCCCGTGTCATCCTGGTGGCAGGGGCCGGCTCGGGCGACGTTGGGGTGGTGATCACGGACCCCCAGGGCCGGCGGGACACGGTGGAGGTGATGCTGGAGGACAAAGGGGACAACGTGTTCCGCTGCACCTACCGGCCTGTCCTCGAGGGGCCGCACACCATCTGTGTCACCTACGCTGGCACCCAGGTCCCCAAGAGCCCCTTCACCGTCAACGTGGCTGAAGGTGAGACCCCCCCCCCAACCCTGCCGGGTCCCCACATGGCCCCATGGCACCCACTGGTGACCAGAGTGGCCCCACAGCACCCACTGGTGACCGCTGTGTCTCCAAGGCAGCTGTTGGTGATCACAGTGGCCCCGTGGCACACGGTGCTGACTGTGGTGGCCCTCAATACCTGTCAGTGACCACAGTGGCCCCATGACACCCCTGTGGTTGCCCATGGCCCCGGGGCGACCCTGTGGCCCCCTCAACCCCCCAGGATGACCCTCTGGTGTGCCCAAGGGTATCCCTGTGGCACCCAGCAATCCCAGGGTGTCCTCAGGGATTCCTGGTGTCCCTGGGGATCCCATGACACCTCCCTGTCCGTGGGGTGTCTTCAAGGTGTCCCTACAGGCACCTTCCAGCCCTGGGGACCTCATGGAACCCCACTGTCCCCAGAGTGTCCCCAGCGTGTTCCCACGGGCTTCTCACAATCCAAGCACCCCCTGCCCCTCCCTGGGGTGTCTCCAGGGTGTTCCCATGGGCATCTTCCAGTCCTGGGGACACCCTGCCCCTCCTTGTCCCTGGGGTTGTCCCCAGGGTGTTCCCTGGTGCCTGGTGGGTGCTGGTGGGTGCTAACGGGGGTCTCCAGCCTGCACCCCCTCAGCGGTGCGGGCGGCGGGCCGGGGGCTGCAGCCACGGGGGATCCGGGTGCAGGAGGTGGCCGACTTCAAGGTGATGACACGGGGTGCGGGCAGCGGGGACCTGCGGGTGACGCTGCGGGGGCCAGGTACGTGTCCCTGCAGGGGGGGGTTGGGTGGTTGGAGGGCACCACAGGCTTGGTCAAAGGGAGTCCACAGATGGGGGGTCCCACCGGGGTGTCCGTGGTGTGGGTGCTTCAGTGCGGGGTCCCCGTGGAGGGAGGAACGTGGGTGCAGGTCCCATGTCTGGGGGTGGGTGGGTGCATGGGTAGGGGTCCCGTGGGGGTGTCCGTGGGAGTTGGATGGGTGGGGGACACCATGGGGTTGGCCATGGGGAGTAGGGGGGGCACCATGGGGAGGTGCACGGTTGGGGGATGCCCTGGGGGGATGTGCCCATGGCTGGGGGGTGTTTCTGGGGGGATTGTGGGTGCCCCATGTGACCACCCCCTCCCACAGGGGGCACGGAGGAGCCGGTGACAGTGCGGGACGTGGGCGACGGCGTCTACGAGTGCGAGTACCTGCCCCGGGTCCCCGGCACCTACCAGGTGTCCATCACCTGGGGGGGCTACGCCATCCCCCGCAGGTCAGTGACACGCACAGGGGGCACCCTGGCAGGGGGGAAGGAGAGTCAGGGGGCACCCCTTCACCTTGAAACCCTTTCAAGATGCAGATGTCCCCCCGGGGGTGGAGCGTTTGGGAGGATGTGGGAGGTGGCGGGGATACAATTCCACCCCCCCCCCCCCATCCTCCTCAACCTGTTCAAGGTGCAGGTGTCTGAGGGGTGGGGGGTGTGCAGGTGTGTCACAGCCCCCCCCCTCACACCAACCTGTGTCCCCCCAGCCCGTTCGAGGTGCAGGTGTCCCCCCAGCCAGGGACACAGAAGGTCCGGGCCTGGGGGCCGGGGCTCGAGGGAGGGGTCGTGGGACGCCCTGCAGACTTCGTGGTTGAGGCCATCGGCACCGAAGTGGGGACCCTCGGTGAGCCCAGGAAGGGGCACGTGGGGACAGGGTGGGGGGGCACCGCGGTGGGGATGTGGGGACAAGGTATGGGGGGACGTGGCACTGTGGAGGGTGTCACTGTGTGGGGATGTGGGGATGTGGCACTGTGGAGGGTGTCACTGTGTGGGGACATGGGCATGGAATGGGTGACACCCTGCTGGGGACATGGGGACAGGTGCCATGGTGAGGTCCCTGCTACTGCGGTGAGGTGGGCACAGGGTGGGGACCGTGAAGGTGGGAATATGGGGCAGGCTGGGAGTGGCCACAGCAGGGGTGTGGGGACAGGGGTAGTAGGGCCCTGAGGACACGGGCACAGAACGGGGGACAGTGACCTGGGGCTTCCCGCTGCGGGGGCACGAAGACACGTTGGGTGTCACCCCGCTGGGAGTGGGGACAAGGACGAGGCGCGGGGGTCCCTTTGGGGGCGCAGGCTGACGGTGACCGCGGTGCCCCCAGGGTTCTCCATCGAGGGCCCGTCGCAGGCGCGCATCGAGTGCGACGACAAGGGCGACGGCTCGTGCGACGTGCGGTACTGGCCCACCGAGCCGGGGCCCTACGCCGTGCACGTGGTGTGCGATGACGAGGACATCCGGGACAGCCCCTTCATGGCCGACATCCGCCCCGCGCCCCCCGACTCCTGGCCCGACAAGGTGCTGCCACCCACAGCTCCCTGATGTGCACCCCACTGCACCCCACTGCACCTCACCCACGGGGTTCTGGGGGTGCCAGTGCCCCCCTGACCTGCCCTGGATTCCCCCGTGCAGGTGAAGGCCTTTGGACCGGGGCTGGAGCCCACGGGCTGCATCGTGGACCGCCCGGCCGAGTTCACCATCGACGCCCGTGGTGCTGGCAAGGGGCCTCTCAAGCTCTACGCGCAGGTGGGTGCCCTGGGGTGACACGGGGTGGTGCTGAGTGCCTTTGAGTCCTGCTGAGCACTGCTGGGTTCTGTTGAGTGATGCTGGACGCTGTTGGGTGCCATCGAGCACTATTGAGTGCTGTCGGGTGCCGGTGGGCACCTTTGGGTGCTGCTGGGTCCCCTCATCTCCGCCCTGGTGCCCGCAGGACGCCGAGGGCTTCCCCATCGACATCAAGGTGAAGGACAACGGTGACGGCACCTTCCACTGCGTCTACGTCCCCACCAAAGCCATCAAGCACACGGTCATCGTTGCCTGGGGGGGCGTCAACACCCCCAACAGCCCCTTCCGCGTGGGTGTCACGGGGGGCCCGTGGGATGCTGGGGTGGCTGTGGGGGTCCAAAGGGGCGCAGAGAGGGGGTGCCAGTCGTGGAGGGTGTTGAGGTGTCAGATGTGGGACGTGGGGGTCCCATGGGGCACTGGGCATGGAGGTCCCGTGGGAATGGGGGGGCCAGGGTAGGGCTGAAGGCCCATAGGGTGGTGTGGATGGGGTGGGGGTCCCATGGGGTGCTGGATGTGAGGATGGGGGTCCCAGACCATTAAGGGTGCTGGGGTGGGGTTGGGGGTCTCCTGGAGTGGTGTGGATGGTGTGGTGGGGAGGGAGGAGGGTGCCAAAATGGGGATAGGGGGGTCCCATGGGCCAATGGTCTGGGGAACCACAGGAGGAACTGGGGGTCTCAGCCCCATGGGGTGCCTGGCAGGGAGGGGTCCGTGCCCCTGACCTGCAGGTGACACTGTGGGCCCACAGGTGAGCGTGGGGGAGGGAAGCCACCCTGGCAGGGTGAAAGTGCACGGGCCAGGCGTGGAGAAGACGGGGCTGAAGGCCAATGAACCTACCTACTTCACCGTGGACTGCAGCGAGGCTGGACAGGGTGGGTAATGGAGGGGGGGGCATCCTGGGGATCCCTCTGTGGGGCATGAGCCTCGTGTCCTGTGTCCCTGGTCCTCATCCTGCATTCCTGGTCCTGCTTCCTTCATCCTCCATGTGCATGCCTGGACCAGCAACCCTGGTCCTGGGCTCCTTTGTCCTGGTTCTATCTGCCCCAGTCCTGGTCCTGCATTCCTCATCCTGCATCTCTGCTCCTGGCCCATTGTCCCTGGTCCTGCTCCAGGATTCCAGGGCCTGCATCCGTGCTCCTGCACCTGCATCCCTGGTCCGTTATCTCTGATCCTTGTTCATCGCCCATAGTCCTGGTCCTGCTCCCCACCCCATGTCTACCTGGTTCCACCCCTCAGTGCCCCCCAGGGCAGCGGATGCCACTGACCCTGCTCCCCACAGGTGATGTCAGCATTGGGATCAAGTGTGCCCCAGGGGTGGTGGGGCCGCTCGAGGCCGACATCGACTTTGACATCATCAAGAACGACAACGACACCTTCACGGTCAAGTACACGGCGCCGGGCGCGGGGCTCTACACCATCATGGTGCTCTTTGCCAACCAGGTGAGGTGCCCCCGACCGCCAGGAGTCCATCCCCTGTCTCTGTGGAGTGCCCCCCACCCTCGGGAGCCTGGTGGGGCTGGAGCTCCGTCCCCCCGTGGTGCCCCTGTGTCACTGTGCCCCTGGTCTCTGTCCCCAGGAGATCCCCTCCAGCCCCTTCCGCATCAAGGTGGACCCGTCCCACGACGCCAGCAAGGTCAAGGCTGAGGGCCCAGGGCTCAACCGCACGGGTGAGGGAGATGTGGGGCAGGGGTGGGCATGGGGGACGTGGGGCAGGGGCTGCCGTGGGGCTGGGACCGCGATGCCGTGGGTCCCTCGGTGACTGATGACGATGAGTGCAGGGGTGGAGGTGGCGACCCCCACCCTGTTCTGGGTGCTGTGGGGTGGGGGCTGTGAGTCCTGCGGGTGCCATGGGTCCCACACTGACCGATGATTTGTGCAGGGGTGGAGGTGGGGACCCCAACCCACTTCCGTGTGCAGACGCGGGGGGCGGGGAAGGCCCCCCTGGACGTGCGGTTCGCGGGGACGGGGCCCGGCCCGGCCGTCGCTGACTTCGAGGTCATCGACAATCACGACTATTCCTACACTGTCAAGTACACCCCGCTGCAGCAGGTGAGTGCTGGGGCACTCTGACACATGGTGGGGGGCACCCTGACCTGGGGGGAGGGACCTTGATCCATGGGGGGGACACCATAACCCTATGGGGACCTGACCCACGGGGTCACCCCATGGAGGCATCCCAACCTGTCTGTGCACCCCATCCCCTGGGAACCCACAGGGACACCCCCCCCAAACAACCCAGTGTATAGGGGCGCCCCCATGGGCACCCCTATGAGCTTCTCATCCCCTCAGCACCCTACCCCTATGAACACCCCCCTTCACGTGGATACCCCACCCCTGTGGGTACTCCCGTGGGGCAGCTACACCCCTACACAGGCTCTAGTCACAGGGCACCCCCAGACCAACAAATGACCCCCCATCCCTGGGACTTT